TTTTTTTTTTTTTTTTTTTTTTTTTTTTTTTTTTGCATGTGGATGTCTATTTCTAGCACCACTTGTTGAAAACCTATCTTGGCTCCACTGTATTGCCTTTTCTCCTTTGTTAAAGACAAACTGACTATATTTTGAAGGTCTGTTCTTGGCCCCTTCCTTATTCTATTCCATTGTTCTATTTGAGTGTTCTTTTCCCAATCTCATCCTGCTCTGATTACTGCAGCTTTATAGTAAGTCTTAAAGTCAAGTAGCATTAGTCTTTCAATTTAATAGTCTTGTCCTTTAATAGTCTGTCAGCTATACTGGGTATTTTTGCCTCTCCAAATAAACTTTAGAATCAATTTGTTGATATCCTAAAAAAAAAAAAAAAAAAACTTTTTGGGATTTTTGTTGAGATTAAATGGAATTTATAGATCAAAATGAGAAACACTGACACCTTGACAATATATTGTTTTCCTACCCTTGAACATGGACTATCTTAATTTATTTAGGTCTTTAATTTTATTCATCACAGTTTTATAGGTTTCCTTATATAGATAATATACATACTTTGTTAGATTTATACCTAAGTATTTAATATTTCACGGTGCTGATATAAATGATGTTGCATTTTTAATTTCAAATTCTATTTGTTCATTGTTGGTCTATAGAAAAGCAGTTAACTTTTGTATATTCACCTTATATCCTACAACTTTTCCATAATCACTTATAGTTTTAGAAGTTTTTTGTCGTTGTTGTTGTTGATGCTTTTGGATTTTCTGCATAGACTATCATACCATCTGCAAACAAAGACAGGTTTTTGTCTTCCTCCCAAATCTGTGTACCTTTCACTTTGTTTTCTTGCCTTATCACATCAGCAAGGACTTCCAGTACAATGTTAAAAACCACTGGTAAGATGGGGCACCTGGGTGGCTCAGTTGGTTGGGTGACCAACTTCGGCTCAGGTCATGATCTCACAGTTTGTGAGTTCAAGTCCCACGTTGGGTTCTGTGCTGACAGCTCAGAGCCTGGAGCCTATGTTGGATTCTGTGTCTCGCCCTCTCTCTACCCCTCCCCTGCTCACACTCTGTGTCTCTCTGTCTCTCAATAATAAATAAACGTTAAAAATTTTTTTTAAAAAGCAACCAATGGTAAGAGGGGACATCCTAAGCTTGTACCGAAAGTTTCAGAGGTTTATACCATGTAGTATGATGTTAACTATGAGGCCTTGTAATTTGTTTAAAGAGAAAGAGCGAAAGCTGGTAGAGGGGCAGAGGGAGCAAGAGAAAGAGTCTCAAGCAGGCTCCACGCTCAGTGCAGAGTGTGATCTTGTGATCTCACAACCCTGGGATCATGACCTGAGCTGAAGTCAAGAGTCAGATGCTCAGCCTACTTAACCGCCCCGGGCACCCAGGCTTCTTAAAAAAAGATAGCATTTATCAAGTTGAGAAAGTTCCCTTTGAATCCTAGTTTCCTGAAAATTTTCATCATGAATGGGTGTCGGGTTTTATCAACTGCATCTATTGATATGATCATGTAGCTTTTCTTTTTTAGTCTGTTGACGTGATGGATTACATTAGGTTTTCGAATGTTGAACCAGACTTGCTAGGGTAAGTCCCACTTGGTCATGGTCTGTGAGACGGAGTACAAGCTTCATAAACCTAATGGGAGAAATGACACCAATCTCTTATCCTGAGATATGAGATAAATGTTAATTCTTATAATAATACACGTGATACTGTTCTATGAAAATCACATAGATTTCTCTTTTTCTCTTTTTTCTCTTTTTTGGATTAAAAACTTTATAATAAGCTGATGTTTACACGCACACAGATATACTTTTTTCTCCCTCTAGGGGATGGATTGTTAAGCATTCACCAGCACACCACTAGCTACAACTTTCTCCTGTACTTCTGACTTGATTCAGTGAAGGCTTATTTAGAAAGAACATAATTTTCAACAAAGTTCAGATGTTAAGTCACAATGAGAAGTTAAGCATACAAGCTTAGAGGGCTTTGGGTCACTCTCCTGAATGAAAATGCTCAACTATTTTCTCTTTTTTTTAGAGCCTCAGCTATTCTCCTTGACTTATAGGAGCAGTAAGAAATTGCTATCATGGAGCGCTGTATGAGATCAATCTTTCTACTGAGCAGCAGCTAGGAGAAATTGCCTTTGCTGGTAAAGGCTAGGCTATGGCGGGCTAAATATTTCATGAAGAATTTTTGTTAATCTTAGCAATTGGTAATGTACTTTCCAACTTGGAAAAAGTCCAAAAGATACACACTTTCTTTTACTTTCCTGCTTTATTTTGTTCTTTGTTTCCTCATACTTTATACCATCTGTTTCCTCCGGGGTAATTCTGCCACCTGCAGGAAATGAGTAGATGAAAAGTTCCCACTATGAATTCAAGCTATTAAATATTGTATGAAAAAAAGTCACGCATTTATTGTTTTTAAAGAGACACAAGTTCTTAGTAGTGCCCCGAGGTCAATGTGATTTTCATAGAACAGTATCACGTGTATTATTATAAGAATTAACACTTATCTCATATCTCAGGATAAGAGATTGGTGTCATTTCTCCCATTAGGTTTATGAAGCTTGTACTCCATTTTTCCCCCAGCAAACTAATACAGTGCCGTGCACATTTTAGTGCTTATATGTGCTACAAAAGGAAAGCTCTTGATTGTACTTCCTTTCCATTTCCAAACATCTCTATTTTTTTTTTATTTTAGAGGGTGGGGGAGAAGGGTAGACAGAGAGAAATACAGATAGGAAGAAAGAGAGAGAGAGAGAGAGAGAGAGAGAGAGAGAGAGAATCTCAAGCAGGCTCTATGCTCAGAATAGAGCCTGACATGGGGCTCAATGTGGGGCTAGATCCCACAACCCTGGGATCATGACCTGAGCTGAAATCAAGAGTTGGACATTCAATTGACTGAGCCCCCAGGTGCCGCCTAAACATCTCTTACTTTCTAGAGAAAGGCTTTGAATTATTTC